ACAGAACTATACTAGAACACCGTAAAAAAAGCACAGCGATTTGCATTGATGGGCACTGATGAGGAGGTACTGGTAGGTGGCACTGATGGGCATTGACAGGCATCACTAATGGGCACTGAAAGGCAGCTCAGATGGGCACCAATATGTGGCATTGATGTGCACTGGTAGGCACCAATATGTGGCACTGATGGGCAATGACAAGTGGCATGGATGAGCACTGATGGACACTGAAAGGTGGTAGTGCTGGGGCTACACAGTGCATCAGTGTACATATCCCCTCTGAGGGATGCCGATTACCGGCTCTCCCCTCGAGCTGTCAGCCTGACCGCATGTAAATAGGAAAATGCCGGTTATCGGCATTTCTCTCCTCACGAGCTGTCAGCTGTGATTGGACACAGCTGATCACATGACCGAGCCTGACATTTTCGGCTCTTTCCGTTGATCCGCTGTGTCCGAGGGGCACAGCGCACCGCCAATCGCTGAGCACGAGTGGTTAGAATGGGAGGACGTCATGTCATGTCCTCGCAGAACAGAACTGCCTTGTGCCCGTCATTGTACTATATGGCGGGCGGGAGGAGGTTAAATACAACAGCCAGTGTGTGCAAAAAGCAGCCAGACTGCCATATTGCATTGGATTTTACTGAAAAATTACAGCAGCTGAAGATTGAAAATGAAAGTTATTCTGTGAATGTGACCTGATTGGTTCCCCATATTCATATCCCTGGAATGTGTGGCATCACTTGGGGAGTATATGACAAGTTTATAATTGAACGCAGCCAGAGGAAAACCGTGCAACAGTGGCTGAATTTTTTTTTTTTTTCCCCACACGGATTTTATCCTGACTAACTGATCTGTAATAGACTAAACAGCTGGAACTTTAACCAATAAGAACATGTACAGTCAGGTCCATAAATATTGGGACATCTACACAATTCTAATATTTTTGGCTCTATACACCACCACAATGTATTTGAAAAGCAATTAACAAGTGTGCTTTATTTGCAGACTGCAGCTTTAATTTGAGGGTATTTAAATCCAAATAAGGTGAACGGTGTAGGAATTACAACAGTTTGCATATGTGCCTCCCACTTGTTAAGGGATCAAAAGTAAATGGGACAATTGCTTCTCAGCTGTTCCATGGCCAGATGTGTGTCATTCCCTCATTATCCCAATTACAATGAGCAGATAAAAGGTCCAGAGTTCATTTCAAGTGTGCTATTTGTATTTGGAATCTGTGCTGTCAACTCTCAAGATGAGATCCAAAGAGCTGTTACTATCAGTGAAGCAAGCCATCTTTAGGCTGAAAAACACAAAACAAACCCATCAGAGAGATAGCAAAAACATTAGGCTTGGCCAAAACAACTGTTTAGAACATTCTTAGAAAGAAGGAACGCACCGGTGAGCTCAGCAACACCAAAAGACCCGGAAGACCACGGAAAACAACTGTGGTGGATGACCGAAGAACGCTTTCCTGGTAAAGAAAAACACCCTTCACAACAGTTGGCCAGATCAAGAACACTCTCCAGGAGGTAGGTGTATGTGTGTCAAAGTCAACAATCAAGAGAATACTTCACCAGAGTGAATACAGAGGGTTCACTACAAGATGTAAACCATTGGTGAGCCTCAAAAAAACAGGAAGGCCAGATTAGAGTTTCCCAAACATCTAAAAAAGCCTTCACAGTTCTGGAACACCATCCTATGGACAGATGAGACCAAGATCAACTTGTACCAGAGTGATGGGAAGAGAAGAGTACGGAGAAGGAAAGGAACTGCTCATGATCCTAAGCATACCACCTCATCAGTGAAGCATGGTGGTGGTAGTGTCATGGCGTGGGCATGTATGGCTGCCAATGGAACTGGTTCTCTTGTATTTATTGATGATGTGACTGCTGACAAAAGCAGCAGGATGAATTCTGAAGTGTTTCAGGCAATATTATCTGCTCATATTTAGCCATATGCTTCAGAACTCATTGGACGCTGCTTCACAGTGCAGAGGGACAATGACCCAAAGCATACTGCAAAAGCAACCAAAGAGTTTAAGGGAAAGAAGTGGAATGTTATGCAATGGCCTAGTCAATCACCTGACCTGAATCCGATTGAGCATGCATTTCACTTGCTGAAGACAAAACTGAAGGGAAAATGCCCCAAGAACAAGCAGGAACTGAAGATAGTTGCAGTAGAGGCCTGGCAGAGCATCACCAGGGATGAAACCCAGCGTCTGGAACGCATAGACATCAGACTTCAGGCTGTAATTGACTGCAAAGGATTTGCAACCAAGTATTAAAAAGTGAAAGCTTGATTTATGATTATTATTCTGTCCCATTACTTTTGGTCCCTTAACAAGTGGGAGGCACATATACAAACTGTTGTAATTCCTACACTGTTCACCTGATTTGGATGTAAATACCCTCAAATTAAAGCTGACAGTCTGCAGTTAAAGCACATCTTGTTTATTTCATTTCAAATCCATTGTGGTGGTGTATAGAGCCAAAAATGTTAGAATTGTGTTGATGTCCCAATATTTATGGACCTGACTGTAGCTCAGCCATCAAAATGTTTAAAGGAACAGTATTGTCTTTTGGATGCTGGAATACAGGGGTGTGGCTGAGGAATTAGCAAAAAAGGTAAAGTATCCTGTGACCTGAATTCTTGGCACCAAGAGTCTTCAGAAAAAGTGCTTACTGCACTTCTGGTCCTTCTCAGACATCAGAGCAGATCAAGAAGGACTAACTTTCAGTTGTCACCCTGCCGAACGCCAGTGCTTTGCTGTGGAAGACAAACTGGGGAGGCAGGGAGACTAGTGTCAGAAATTCCCTTGATCTGAGGGAAAACTAGCAGATCTTGGGACAATGCAAAAATAGGGGACACGCAGGTATCCATTCAGGCCCAAAATCGGGCAAGTGTATTCAGTTTTGGGACCGAGTAAACCCTTTCAAAACGCTCCTGCTGCTAGGTGTCATTAAACATTACACATCACAGCATCACTAGGTAAGCTCATAATAGAAAAACCTCTCCAAGGCACAGCTTCTCTGTGCCCTGTCTCGGCCACTGCCACGTGAGTGTACACTCACAAAATGGATGTGGATGGAGCTGCAATAACCCAGGTCAGACTGATGTCCCAGGATTGTCTCTAAAAGCAGGCAGCCAGAAGGGACAAAACCTTACTTGTCATGGTGAACCCAAACAGGGGTCTTCAGGATCTGTGTGCTATGTCTCTGAATCATGTGCCAAGGATCCAGTGTCTGAAGTAAACAAAGGCTGGCCCCGCTGTTGCAGGGTCCTGTTCTCTCAAGGGTCACCAATACTGCTTGAACCCTGAGACTTCTAGAACTTGATAAGACATAAGAAAGTTAAATGGTTTAGAAAACTTCTCCATAAATAACATGTCCATCATTTTAAGACACTAGCAAAAAACTGCAGGCCCACAGAGAGCAGGCCCACAGAGGGTTATAGGAGAGTGCAACAAGGGCGCTCAGCAAAGCTCTTGCCAGCATCCAATCACGTGAAGGTAGCAGCAGCTGCTACATATATATCTTTCTGTACAGTGCAAGAGGTTTGTTCTAGGATTTAGATTTAATATTGTTACATACATTAACCAAGAATAGTCTAACATGCACAACTACGTTGATGTAAAATGTTAGAGAGCTTGAAAAATCAATATTTACATGAAAAAAAAAAAAAAAAAAAAAAAAAAAAAAAAGTGTAACTACATCTGTCTGTAGCATACAAAAGGCTATGGGTCAGAAGAGCAGAGCTTATTTTCTTGAAGAAACAATAGTGATGAAGAAAAAAAAAACCAAAAAAAAAACATTAATGAAGCTTACACAGAACATGTCTCCTAATCATTCATGTTAACAATGGGTTGACCCAAAAGAAAAAAATTCTCTGCAGTACAGAAATGGCTACAGGAATATAACCCACACAGCACTAGGAGTATCCCTGAAACAGTAAATATACAAGATAATGTATTCAAAACAAAATCTGACCATAGAGATTAAATTGTAAACTGCCCACCGCATCGTCCACCTCCCTCCCTTCTTCCCACAGCTTGCATAATCCCAAGGCTTGCTGGGGGTCATTAGGCCTGTAACCCATTTTGGGAAGGTCCCCCCAGCTGAAAGGGGTGTCAGCTAAGACCAGACACTTAAACAGCAGTCATTCTTATTACCAGTTTTCTAACATCCATGTAGCACTAGTTTAGGTGTGCAGGGGCAGTGTTTGATTATGGCTGAAATTTGATGGAACGGCATCATTGCTGGAGTTCTCATCACATGCATTTCCAAGCTAGGGAACTGAAAATGGCAGATGTGCATGAAGGATGTCTGCACAACCCACCTGCCCCATTTGAACAGAACATTGCAGTGTTTCACTCTGATCTTGCACAGAGGACAGCCTGCACTGCACCAAGCACCAAGGAGCATGAGGGAATGTGTCACATTTCACCACAGAAGCACGCTAATGCCTGCAGCAGGGCCAGAAGGCCCAGTCTTCACCCCTTATAGTTCCCCCTTAGGTTACCATTGTCATTGACCTGCACAGCACCTTAACAATGTAACTGGATACAGTTACCCAGTCTCAGGTGACTGATCTGGATAAAGTCTTTCCCCAGGAAAGTAGGCAATTAAGCAGGGAACTAAAAACCACTAAAACTATCTTCAGAGAAATCTGTAAGCACACTAGCTATAAACCAGAGGCTTAGCTGAGCTGGAAAGGGTTATTGCTTGGGGAAGAATACACATTGGTTGGCCAGTGCCAATTCACCTGAAGGTAGCAGCATAATTAAAGTAGTCATGAATAAGAAGAAATAGAAAGGGTTCAAACCAATGCTTGCTATAGCAGCACATACTGCTAGATTCAGTAAGAATGTGTGTGAAATATCTCCAATGGGGGCATGGACCACTATAAAAACACAAGTACTCGCCAATTAAAGTTTTGTCTGGTGCTGGCCAATAAATTCAGTGCGGTGCTAAACCTTTATAAGCGTGTTATTTTAAAGTTACCTTTTCCACCTCGAGCTCCTCTTCCACCAAAGCCTCCTCGACCACCATACTGCTGCTGATATACTTCTTTTGGTTGAGCTATCTTGATTTCACACTAAGAATGAAAACCAAAGTTATTTCAAGTGTTGCTATACACTACACAAAACATCTGACAAAGACCATGTGGATTTCTCCAGTACCACTCCATTATCATAAGCTTTATTTGCAAGTCACAGATCTGGGTCAAGTTTGGGGGGGGGGGGGTTGTGGGAGGTAGAAGTTACGGCTACTAGGGTTTTCCATGAAGAGAAGAATCCAAATCTGAAATAAGATTCTTTCCTTCAGTATTTAATATTACCACAAGCTAAAAGACTAAAGCACTTGAAAGTGGAAGACTTCCTGAAAACAAAGTGATTTACAGGAATACGGGTAAATTCCATGGTTTGTGGCATTTGTATTTTCCAGGCCAAAAAAAAAACCACCACATGACTAAAAAAGTAGCACCAAACCCAAAAAAACATTTTTCAGCTTACCAATTCTTAGATGTGGTAGCTACAATAGTTCTTTAGGCTTTGTGCCTTTATTTTCAACTGGTGATCCAGCCAGCAAGTCTGATTTTTCAACAAACATTTGACCTGCAGATGTAGCAGTTAAAAGGAAATCATTCAACACTGAGTGCTTACAATGGTCAGCTTAACGTAAAGCCTTCATCTCCCCCCCCCCCCCCACAACACACACCTTACTCTAACAGCTTGTTAGCATATCTAAATCTGCTAGTGCATACAAACACACCCTCCCCCCAACTGAACAATACTGCTCCTTCATCCAGAGTGCAGGCACCATAAGGCCAAGGATTGGTAAGCTGCATTGTTAATTTTTGGCTTTAGGTTTAAAGTTACCTTTGGTAACGTGTGTCACACATTCAGGATTGCTGTTGCACTGGCCCCCTAATCCCCATTGTAACAGGTAGCGGGGGATTTCCCGAACCCCTGCTAGCGGTCACGTTAAAAATAAAAGCGTGGCCATGCAAGGCTCCGCCCACCTGCATTATTCATGCCAAATTTTGTGAGTGGGAAATTAAAAGTATTACAAGCTTTTGCGCGGGGCGCCTTACAACTTTCAATGAACTAACCACAGATTCTTACGTCAGTGTGAAAATGTCTGCAGGAGTCGTGCATGGCACCAGCGATCCTTGATGGCTGGTGCAATGCTTAAATTAAGAAAAGAAAAAAAAAAAAAAAAAACCACACGCACTTTACCAGCATTATAAATAAAATTAGTTTCTTGGAAGTTCATTACATTCATGGATACAGAACTTTGCTGATACAACTGGGTTATACTGCCTCCTACAGGATTTGGCCACCGGCAAAACAAATGTTATGTTAACCAGACTTCACATACATAGGGAAAAGCAGATCACAGGGATGGAACTTGCATCCTTTCACACCATACTGTACATAAATACATGTGCATTTGAATATATTTATGCACTAAATGTCAAATTTGAACAATGCACATCAAAAACCCCTTTTTTTATGTGCCAAAGCACTGCCGCTCCCAATGCCCGAGAAAGCGTGCATTCCACAGTGTTGTCTGTATAAACGCACATTGTTTGGTGTTTGACCCTGTCCCATGCTTTGTTTATGCCACTGGCACAAGTGAACGTGTGTATTGGCTTTTAGGTTCACTTTTATTCAAGAAAATATTAAAGAAAAAAAAACACATACTACACTAAAGAAATCTGTTTCTGAATGCATGTGTTATCCCACCTATAAGAGAATCCATGAGAGTATTGACAGCTGCTTCTTTCCCTTGACGATGGTTGAGGCGTGCGATATATTCATTGATTAGGTGAATCTGGTAAGTTGCTAACCTTACCTCACGTAGTGGATCACAGGATTTTATTTTTGAAAGGATAATCTGTCACTGGTTTTGGGAACGCTGAGCACAAAGTCTGAGGAGTTATTGCATGGACTATTCATGTAACGAACATTTCTTTTGGTTGATTGTACATTATAAAAAAAAGGTCTGTTTAATGCCGAACATGTCAGACAAAAATAATGTAAAGTCTTTCCAGAGCGGCAAAGGAAAAAAAAAAAAAAAAAAAAAAAAAAAAAAAACTGCTAGTGTCTCCAGAACACCTTGGGCCCAGGCATGGAGGGAGAACGCCATGAAATCTAGCTTGTAACCACACAACATGCTACAGACCTTTTTCACCTACAATGAGCCCAGATGGTTGCAAAGGCTGATAATGTTTCACTAACTGCTGGAGTGGGGGGTACTCAAGGGGAATGGGACTTCCGAATGTGGAGAACTTTTGGAACTGGGTGTAGGCATCTGTTTGAAGGTAGATACCTGCTGCTGGTTTGACCTGTTTTTGCCTTCTTTAGGGAAAGTACAGGTTTTTTACCCACAATTTCAAAAGCTAGAATTCAAAAGGAATCAACTGATTAACTTAAACACATTTGGGAAAGACACCAAGACATCTTGCGGCAATTGACGCTAAAGGAAGTCCCAAAATACTTGCAGAATGAAGTGCTGGCAGAAGGGATTATACATTGGAGCAGCAGCTGGACTAAGGACAAAGCTGCGCTGTCACCCCAGACCAGGATTTCCCTGCAGATGTTCGATGGTACCTGGGGAATACCATAAATGTCACCAGTGCCCAATGAGGTAATCAAAGCCAATCTCCGCCCTTACACCACTATGTCAGAATACCGCTTTACAGTCAGTAATGCACAACACTCCACCAGTAGTAGTGACACAGGAGGTTGACAACTTACAGGATTCCACGGAAGCATTCACCGTTCCAAGCCCCAGGGACAGCAAGTCTAACCTTCACCTTAACATGAGCCTGCCCAAAAAAAAAAAAAGCAGCCTTCATGCATCAAACAACCCATGACCTTGCTTGCAGGATACTTTACAGGTCAAAAACTGTTGCCCACAGGGGCATTTTAATGAAGCCATGGCATGCAATTAGTCATTTATCCTGTCTCAGATGGGTTTTCTAGCTTATATGCGAGTATTCACATACACAGTACTGAGTTTGTTTTGGTCCTATAGCTTTACATACATAAAGATGGAAGTTCACCGATACTTTCCCTCCCGTCCTTACTTTTTGGCCTTTTTTGGAAACTGGTACCCACTTCTAGCAGGTATTTTTTCCCACTTCCAGTTAGACTGCCTAGACCAGGGGTCTGCAACCTTTAAGACATAAAGAGCCACTTGGACCCGTTTCCGAGAGGGAAAAAAAGACTGGGAGCCGCAAAACCATTGCAACATTTAAAACAAATCCGACACTGCATATATTGCGAAAAGCGCTCTGGTCATGAAGGGGGTTTAAGGGCCCAGTAAGCAAAGGGTTAACCAGGGCCACAGTGTATCGTCATAATCACAATCATAGCCTTAGGTCAGTGGTGGGCAACCTTTTTTTTCAACTGAGCCAAATCTCGCCAAAACCACGATTGAAATTTATTTTGAGAGAAACATTTTTAAAACTGAAAATACATCCCCCATATAGTAATTCATCCCCCATATAGTAATTCATCCCCCCTATAGTAATTCATCCCCCCTGTGTCAATTCACTTACCTTTGCTCCGCGCGTTCCTCTGTGTTCCCGCGCCGTTCTGGTCTTCAGGGCGGACTGTGAGAGAAGAGTTAGTCACGCTGCCCCGCCTACATCCTGACAGCCAATGTTTGGAGGAGGGAGGGGAGCGGGCGCCCGGCACATAGAAGAGCTGCATTAAAAGAGCCGCGGCTTGCCGACCCTATTGCCTGTCACCTGGTGGGCAGTGTGCTCCGGAGCCGCAGGAAAGGTGAAAAAGAGCCGCATGCGGCTCCAGAGCCACGGGTTGCCGACACCCGGCCTAGACAATCCCATCGGAAGTTCAACCCTCACAACAACCTCCTAGGACATGTCACGTTCAGAGCATAGAGTCTTGTGCATGCACAGGCAACTCATGTCACAGGGAGTAAACACTGGTGTTGGGGACCCAAGTAAAAGAACCAGCCCAACGAGGACAGCGCTGGATCCTTGGACAGGCAAGTGTGTTTAAACCTCCCTAGCGGTCTGATTACGTCCATATTTCTGTGCTCAAACCGGAACATTTTTTGCATGGAAATATGTATTTTTTTTTATTGTAGGCCTCTAAATTTTAGGAATACCTCACTGAAATCTGTCCGAACAAGAGTTTAGTAAACATCCCAGGTATGTTACAATTTGAAACACGAAATCATAAATTATAATTAAATAATCATAAAAAATAAAATTCAATATAATCAAACCAAAAACACTGAAATTTAGCGCCAAGTTCGCACATCACTGAGCAAAGTTGCAAAATTGTTTTCAGTGTCTGATGCAGAATTGAGTGATTTGTGGGGAAATTCGTCAAGTGGTTCTGATTTACTATCGCTGTTCTCTAGCTGGTCTAAAACCGCTTTTGACCTAAAAAAGGGACGCTTCTCAGTTTCCAGGCAGAAAATAGTAAAAATGCAGGCAGGGCACAGGACAAAAATGTATGTGAAATGGTTTGATACAGTAATGTTTTACTATGTGATTTTAGTGTATTTAGTGAATGTCACTTTGTCATTCAAAATTTTTCGCAGTTCCGTCCCGACGCTCGCAGAAGACGGAACCCAGATGACAGATGCCAACATCCGCCGGAGGACATTGCCGGGGACACTGCAGGAGGGACATCGTGGAAGCGCATGACAAGGTAAGTGAACAGATCCCGGAGCAGTGCCTCATGGTAAGCCCGAGTGTAGCTCGGGGTTACCGCTTGTGGTACTGAAACTTAACCTCCCTGGTGGTATTCCCGAGTGTAACTTGGGGTAAAGAAACATTAACAGCTACAACATTGTAGCTGCTGGCTTACAGGTGAAACTGAAAAAATTAGAATATCGTGCAAAAGTTCATTTACTTCAGTAATGCAACTTAAAAAAGGTGAAATAGGAGATAGACTCATTACATGCAAACATAGCTCGAGCCGTGATTTGTCATAAGTGTGGCTTACAGCTCATGAACACCCCAAATCCACAATCTCAGAAAATTAGATTACAGGCAATCAATAAAACAAGGATTGTACATAAAACAATATCGGACCTCTGAAAAGTATAAGCATGCATATGTACTCAGTACTTGGTTTGGGCCCCTTTTGCAGCAATTACTGCCTCAATGCAGCGTGGCATGGAAGCCATTAGCCTGTGGCACTGCTGATGTGTTATGGAAGACCAGGATGCTTCAATAGCAGCCTTCAGCTCTTCTGCATTGTTCGGTCTCATGTCTCATCTTTCTCTTGGCAATGCCCCATAGATTCTCTATGGGGTTCAGGTCAGGCGAGTTTGCTGGCCAATCAAGCACAGTAATCCTACGGTCATTGAACCAGGTTTTGGTGCTTTTGACAGTGTGGGCAGGTGCCAAGTCCTGCTGGAAAATGAAGTCAGCATAGCCATAAAACTTGTCTGCGGAAGGAAGCATGAAGTGCTCCAAAATATCCTGGTAGACGGCTGCGTTGACCCTGGACTTAATGAAGCACAGTGGACCAACACCAGCAGATGACATGGCTCCCCAAATCAACACAGACTGTGGAAACGCACTGGACTTCAAGCATCTTGCAGTGTGTGCCTCTCCATTCTTCCTCCATACTCTGGGTCCTTGGTTTTTCTGATGAGAGCAACTTTTGCATCTCATTTGGAAGAGGACTTTGGACCACTGAGCAACAGGCCAGGTCTGTTTTTCTTTAGCCCAGGTAAGACGCTTCTGACGTAGTTTGTTGTTCAGGAGCAGCTTGACAAGAGGAATATGACATTTGAAGCCCATGTCCAGGATCAGTTTGTGTGGTGGCTCTTGATGCACCGACTCCAGCCTCAGTCCACTCCTTGTGAAAGTCCCTAACACTTTTGAATGGCCTTTTCCTGATAATCCTCTCCAGGCCGTGGTCATCCCTGCTGCTTGTGCACCTTTTTCTTCCACATAACTTTCTATTAATGTGCTTTGATACAGCACTTTGGAAACATCCAACTTCTTTTCAATTACCTTTTGAGACTTTCCCTTTCTATGGAAAGGGTCAATGATGGTTCTGCACAACTGTCAGGTCAGCAGTCTTTCCCATGGTTGTGATTCCTACTGAACCAGACTGAGACCATTTAAAGGCTCAGGAACCCTTTGCAGGTGTTCTGGCTTAATTAGCTGATTAGAGTGGACTCTCTGAGCCTAGAATATTGCACCTTTTCACAATATACTAATTTTCTGAGATTGTGGATTTGGGGTTTTCATGAGCTGTAAGCCATATTCACAAATTATGACAAATCATGGCTTGAACTATCTTGCTTTGCATGTAATGCGTCTCATATTAGTTTCACCTTTTAAGTTGCATTACTGAAATAAACTTTTGCACTATTTTACTTTTTTTAGTTTCACCTGTAAATATTTCAGAAGAGCCTTCAAGTTAAATTTAAGGCAAGGACATTTAATGTTACAGACATTAGGGATGCTTAATGCTATTTTTACAAGCAATTACATTTTAAAACAAGTACAGCACAGCCACACATTTGTTTAAAAAAAAAAAAAAAAAAAAAAAAATCTGACAAGTACTTAAGTGTTACTAAACCCACAGTAAAAGCATGTTTGTTATACTCAAATGGGAACCTAAGGGGTTAATCCTCTGCATTGTGCAAAAAGGCTGTTTGATCCCATCTTCTGATCCTCTCCTACTGTTACACAGCAAACATGAGCATGTCCAGTGACTCCTAGAGCGCAGTAGGATGGTATGGCGAGAGTTTTTCGGGTGCATGTGGCCACACGAGTCAGGGACAATGCAGCCTCATAGGACAGAGCAGAATGGGAGGGGGGAAGAGAATGCAGGGTCCTGGGTTTAACACTTTAAAAACAGACTGGAACGCAAGCTAGAGAAGAAAAGCCCTGCCATTTTAGTACATGCAATACCAATAAGATAACCACTCAAATCTAATCTTAAAATATAGAAAAACCATTACCTTGCTGCCTGACACATTGTGGAACTTTTTTTCCAAGATCTTTTTTACAGGTTCCTCCTCTTTAAATGTAATAAAGACAAAGCCTCTTCGTTTGTTAGTTTTTGGATCCATTGGCAGTTCAATCGATTCAATCTGGAGAGGGGAAAAAAAAAAAAAAACACATGCATTTCATTAAACCATGAGCCAGCCATTCTAAAGCACAATTGAAAGCTGAAGTTTTACAATGTGCCTTCCCTGGTTCCTTCCTCTCTCCCCTCAACATGCCAAGAAATTTAAAACCTCATTACATTCCTTATTTTATGTACAGCGATATCAATAGGTCTGTCTCTACGAAAAGCAAGCAGATAATGGCTGGTGAGATGGAAAAGGAAGGGTGCATAGCTACAAAAAAAAAAAAAAAAAAAAAAAAAAAAATCACCATGCCTCAGTACACTCAGCCCTGATGCAGCAGTGGGCAGATTCTTAAAAAGATATGCAATATATCAAAATGCCTGGGGTGGGTGTCAAAAGTGCAGACTATTTCCTAGGCAGACTTGTTTGCACGCAAACCACCCTAACACCTACACTAGGTAATACCAATCTATGAAGCCAAGCCTCCATGATAAAAAGAATTACACACAAAGAATGGGTAGAGCAGGAACAGTTCTACAGCCAGGAAATGGGGCTCTTTACAACTTGTTGTAGCTTCTAAATATAGACTAAGCAACTTACTGCAATGTTACACAAAGCATTTCCACAGGAGAGGAGCAACTGCAAGAATGAAGGGAACACTGAAGTTCAGCTTTAAAGTAACTCCACTTTGGCAGTGAAGTGGTGATAACATCTACTTTAACATTTAATTTTCACGGACAGTACTCAATTGTTTCTGCCAAAAAAAAAAAAAAAAAAAAAAAAATGAATGTTTCCTCAGCTATGCAATGTTAAGCACTTCCTGACTGCCCTGGTGTGTAAAATCATGTATACACACACACACTATTTTGCATTTCCAGGTAGGGGGCGCATGTGGGCAACCCTACCCACACCCCCATTCATGGCGGCCAATCACCAAGTCCCGGCTGGTGATAGCAAACAGTTCTCCTCTCCATCGGAGATGCTTGGCAAACAGTTCTCCTTATCAGCTCGTGCACACTGCTTGGGATGGCTATGCACAGCACAGCCATCCCAAGCAGTGCGCTTACAGTGAAGTACACGGACAAGTAAAACCATCGCTTTTTGATCGCTCCTCATGTTAACCCCTTCCTGCCCAATGCCATTAGCATTGTTCACTGTATTGGTGTAACTGGGGATGTCAGTGACACCAAGTCAGCCCCCCCCCCCCCCCCCCACTGTCAGAATGCTTGCAGCAGTCCCGCTATAAATCGCTGATCGCCACCATTACTAGTAAAGGAAAAAAAAAAAAAAAAATAAATTAAAAAAAAAAAAAAACCCACAGTATATATACACACCATTTGTAAACGATTTAATTCTCACGTAAACCAAATTTACATGTTTAAAAAAAAAAAAAAAAAAAAAAAGAAGGTCATTTGGGTGTAGCATTGCATGATTGCGAAATTGTCAGTTAACCACTTGCCATCTGCCTGCTGTTTATAAAACGTCAGGGCGGCGGCACTCCAGGGGCAGGTTGCCGTTCATAAATTGCACCCGCCCTTTTCTAGCTGTGCGTGCTCCCTGGGAGCGCGCAGCACTGCGATCCGGTGCCCGCTGTGTCCTCCGGACACAGTGAAACACCGATTGTAGGGCGGGACCTCTGTACGAGCTCCCGATCATGTGATCACTGATTGGCCAACTTGCTTACAACGTGTGAAATCTGAATGATCACAGAGGTCACATGGTACAAGGCTATTCACAACAGCCTTGTACCATGTGACAAGGTGTGACCAATCACAGCTCACTCTATTTCTCAATGGCTGCAAGAATGCAGATAGAGAAAGAAAAAAATGATTGCTTTTACATTCTATATGGGTGTAAAACAATCACTGTAAAAAAAATAAATAAATAAAAAAACTTAATCACCCCCACAAGTAGTACAGTGTCACCATGGTGACTGTACTGCTAGGGTGACAGTATGTAAAAAAAAACCATAAATATAAAAAAATGTAAAAAAGTGTTTAAAAATTTTTGGTTATAAACTAAATTTGGCTTATTTTTTTTACTAAAAATATAACGGAATACATTTTGGTCAAGATTTATGATGAAAGATTTGCAAAATTTTAAGAAAAACTTTTCAAAATTTTTGGACATTTTCATTTACATAGCAAAACAAATAAAAATCCCAGCGGTGAATAAATACCACCAAAATAAAGCTTTATCTGTCTCAAAAAATGGTAAAAAATTCATATGGTACAGTATTGCATGACCGCACAATTGTCAAAGTGTGATAGTGCTGACAGCTGAAAATTGCCCTGGACAGGAAGGGGGTAAAGTAACGCAGCGCCATAATGCAAAAAAAGGCCTGGTCAGGAAGGGGGGGGGGGGGGGGGGTAAATCCTCAAGAGGGTAAGTGGTTAAATAGTAGGCTGAGCAGTTGATGTTCACAAATGAACTCAGCACAGTACAATGTTAACCACTTTAAGACCAGGCCAGTTCTGACACTGCTCTTTCCTCCTCCTCACATTGGTACCTGCTGCTGTCAAATCACAGCATGTGAAGAGGAAGCAGGGGCAGAGCTTGCTATGGGTGTACTTGTGCAGGTTCGATCCCTAGCTGCACTGTGTGGAAGAAGATTTTGGCTCAATCTTACTTACACGTCAATGAAACTAAATTTAACACCCTAAACCTCACCTTACCCAATCACTCAGCTCCAAACACTACAGGATAAATTTTACCTGGCCTGACTTTTCCCTACTTTGACATTAAAAAGGTCATTCGAATAACTGTTTAAAAGCCAATTATCCCCCTTTATTCAAGTCCTTGACCTCTTGCTGAGCCATGAGGGGGAAAGATTTCCTTTATAGTGAAGAAACATACATGCAATAGAAATGATAGATTTTCCCAGGCTGTTGTATTATTTAAGGCTAATACCTTGTCCCCAAAATGATATTTTGTCACACCTCACAACAGAAGACATTACAATTTATTTCACATCCTAAACACAGGCTTCCAGCCTCAACACTATCGGGTCAGCCAAGCCACCCTCAAGACGTTTACGTCTCTCAAATACTACATGGCAGCTCAAATATCTCCTTTGGCCTACCTCCAAGCTATTGGCGAAAGACCCATTTGGTGGAAGGGACTTGCTCCCTCCTCCCCATTTATAATTTGATCTGGACCCCCACCCCCCCCCCCGCTGTCAGCTCGTGAGGAGAGCCGGTAATAGGCATTCCTTGGAGGAGACATGTACATAGAACAGAGCACTGATGATCTGGCCACTGATGCATCAGGGCTGCCCTGATCTGTAGCCCCAGCAGTGCCAGCTGTCAGTGCTCATCCATGCCACCTGCCAATCCATGCCTCATATCAATGTAGCCTATCAGTGCCCATCACTACAGCCTCATTAGCGTACATCAGTGGAGAAAAATCACTTGTTTACAAAATCTTTTAACAAAAACTAAGAAAAAAAAACTGTTTTTTCCCTCAATTTTCAGTGGTTTTTGGTTTAAGAAAAAAAAAAAAAAAAAAAAAAAAAAAAAAAAAAAGAAACCCAGAGGTGATTAAATGCCACCAAAATAAAGCTGTAAAAAAAAAAAAAAAAAAATGAAAATTTCATATGGGTACAGTGTTGCATGACTGCACAATTATTCAAAATGTGACAGCGCTGAAAGCTGGAAAATGTGCCTGGGCAGGAAGGGGGTATAAGTGCCCTGTAGGCTAGTGGTTAAAGGAGCTGCAGGAATATCTAGCAAGTACTGGATGTGTGGCAGATGTGACAACCTCCTCCCATATTCTTCATATGTCTGGGCTATAAGGTCTACCTCTTGGCAAGACAGAAGCCTTTTCTTAAGAAAAGCATTCAAGCCCGGCTAAATCTTGCAAAACACATCTGAAGTCGTGCTTACATACTCTGTTCTCTTTATATGGAGACTTGCTCCTTTAAAACCACTTCAATACTGGACATTTTTACCCCCTTCTTGCCCAGACCAAATTTTCAGTGCAGTCACACTGCGTGAAATAATTTCTTGCATGACCACACCAGTGTCTGTCAAAGTGTTTTTTTTCTTCATCCGTTATAAAATTTTGCAAATAGTTTAAAACACACATTCAGAAAAATGTATAAATCCTATTTCATTTGAAGCCCAAAAATGCCAAGACAGTACAAATAGCACCCAAACGACCCCTTTTTTGGGAAGTAGGTAGTCCATGGTATTTAGTAAGAAGCATGGCGAGTTTATTTTAAAGTTGTAATTTGTCACAATTTTTTGTAACGTTAATAAAAAGAATTTCATTTGTTTGCTTATACCAGTAAAATTTTACGGATACAAGCAACCATTTCTGGCTTGGAAGGTTTCCAAAAAAAAAAAAAAAAAAAAAAAAATTGCAGTTGTATTGGTCCACAGAACAGAATGTTTATATGCCAGTGTTCTGTTGCCATGGCCAGGCATAGATAGGAGTATAATGTGTTTTATGCATTTAAACGACAATACACTGTTGTCCGAGGTGACCCTGAATTTGACCAGCACCACAAAATTCAGCCCCACGTAAGTCACCTTAACCAAAAATTTGCAGATGTCTATACTCCCCAGCAAAAAATCTGCGTTGAGTCCCTCATTCATTTTTCTGGCTGACTTGCATTCAAATTTATCCCCAGCAAATGTGCCAGATATGGGATCAAGATGTAGAAGACCTGCGAGAGGGCAACAGGCTATACATACAAGTTTTGGATTTACGAGGGAAAAGATAGTCACATGGAGTAGTGGCAAGATAGTTTGGGACTTGGTGTCATCCTTTTTCCATATGGGGTACCACTTATACATGGACAATTTTTGTCTCGAAGAGAAGGGGCGGAGCCTGAACATGGTGGTGTGGGAGAGTACGATGCAAGTGCTCTCCGACAGACTCCGCTTCCAGCCACCCCAAGTGCCCTCCTAGTACTACAGACTGGGTACCTACCTGTGTGAGGAGATCCCGGTGGAGGAATGCCGGCTCTGTGACTGGGAGCAAGGAACGAGAGAGCGAGAAGTGAGTCTTGGGCTTCT